GTCCTGTGCCTGCTTGCCCATGTGAGTTCGTCTGGGGAGCATTTTCAATCAAGGACTGTAGCCAGATATGAAGTCACCGAGGTCTGGACCCCAGGATTTTTTTAAAGATCTAAAAATAAATTTTTTAAGCTAAATTTTCACCTGAGTAAAAAAAAAAACAAACAGGAATTGAAAATGTCTGCGGGCCTGGTGCATTCTTAATTCAGTTCGAATGTGTTATTAATAGTGTGTTCGGGTGAGAGCTAGAGCATTTAGTATCAGCATGATAGAGGACGCAAACTCGCAACCGCCAGGGTGCACTTTACTGAAAGCAGTGCGAATTCATGCAGTACTGTGAGGCAGGGTGCGCAGGGTGCACAGGGTGCGCAGGGTGCGCAGGGTGCGCAGGCTGTATATCATACGGAAAGACAAAACAATGATTATTATGTGTAAAAAAACATTCCAAAACAGCGACCTCCTATAGCGTCTACAGTAAAGATAATTCTATGAAACATGTTAAAGGGTGGGTTTCTTTCATATTACGCTTAATTGGATAAATTAGGCTAACTAACGTTTCACATAACATCGTTAGTAAAAAAATAATAATGGGAATGTTATCAATAATAGTGTCCACAGAAACATTTCAAAGCCTAATTTCGATATCAAAACAAGTTTATTTGATGTTTGGCTTGTGATGGTTTATTAATATCAATCATTACTCTTTCATTTAAATCTTTGTATATGGTTATAAATGACATGGTTCATACCCATAATATTTTACTGCTCTGTAATGGTCTAATGATAAAGACCTAAATTCATTCAGTAAAGCACATTCATATAATAGCTCCACATAACTTAGCTGTACCCTAAACTATCAATTAATTGATATGAACTCGCATTTATCCCTCAGAAAACAAGCCTCCTGTATGTAATGTGTGTTTGATGAGACCCACCCCCCACAAACCCCCTCACCCTCAGGTCCCAGACCTCACTATTTTTCAAACACTGGCTACAGCCCAGCTCCCAATCCCCTCACACCACATCAGGAACTGGTACATTCTTTTTGGAGTTGATCTTAAGGTATTTGTTTCACTCATCTATCATCAACTGTCCCTGTTATGCTGGACTGTTTTGAACATTGTTGGTAGTGTTCATTGTTTAGTGTTGATTGTTTTAGGTGTAGCTTAATATCGCCATCAATGAGCTGGGGAGAGCTTTGTGTATACATCTGCATTATTGTTTAGAGTATGTGAACATTAAAGTTTTTCAATAATATGGTGTTTTGGAATTACATAAATGAGAATATAGCCTCAGTATAGGTGCATTTTACCAAAAAAAAAAAAAATCGAAATTCTAATTGTAAATTTTTAAGTCTTGATCATGCTTTGGCCTTGATT